TTTTTTTGCATAGTAAACGTTTGAATTAGAAAAATGATATTTCTAAAAGAATCATTGGGACGCTTTATTGAGTTTTAAAGAAGTTGATGGGGTCGTGGAAGTCACGTTTCATATATGATGATTTTGGTGAGCTAAATTTTGTTGAGTTGCAATTTTTTTAACATTCGTAACATACCCGTGGAATTTTTGTACGAACATTAGGAATGAAGGGAACAAAATATGCGAATAATGAATAGAGTGCAACATTTCAAAGATAAGTGACCATTCGGAAGCATTTTGAAGTTCGATGAGTGAAATGTGACAAAATGGAAGTTGGATGAGTAATGAAACAATGTTTTCGCTGAGTTGTCATTTTTTAACCGCCGTTACCTTCCACGTGTGTTTTCCGTCCGCCACGTCAGCGTCAAAGATAACGGAATTTGGTGAGTGATGGATGTGGCGCAACGGCAGAAAGTTCAGTGACCATTAAGAGGCAATTTAAAGTTCAGTGAGTAAATCGTGATCATGTTAAAGTTCAGTGACCATTCAAACATTTTTCTCCTAGAGAAGAAGGGCAAATGATATATTTTGCTAATGTATTTTATACTATTAATATTTTAAGAATTTATTCAACAAATTCAGATTTGTTTTAATGAATAACTCATATGTTTAAGATTTAGAATCCTAACACATATATTTGAGTAACAAATTTGATAGATGAAATAGAAGTGTTTGTTTTAGTTAAATTTTCAGATTTACCCCAAATAAAATCACCAAATTTTACCGCTTCAACAGAAAGGCAGCTCGGGAATCAACGACATCGTCACGAAACCTCTTTTCACTCCCCGAGGCATCCTCCATTTTCATAAACCCTCTCTTCCTTTGCTCCAAGCTCAACCCTAGCGGAAACCCAATGCCACTGCAACCCACACCTCCACCATAGGCGCTGTCGATTCCAACAACGAGTCTAACACCCATGCCTCCAAGGTGACCCGAGCAATCTCATGAGCTCAGCTGAAGCATCATCGGAGCCAGCGCTGCTCCCAAGCTAGAAGCCTCGTTGTTTCCCACCATGCTAGTCTCTGCTCCACCCGTGTAGGCTGGGAACCCAAAGATTTTCTCCAGGAACTCGTCAGATGTAGCCCCTATTGGGTTATTCGCCATGTCAGTGACTCAAGTCGTCAACTCTGTTAGAATTCTGAACCACCAACTCAATTAGCTTCAAAACGTTTTAGCTCAAACAATTTAGGGACAGAATTTCACAAAATAAAGAACATTTATCTCTAATTATCGAAATACGAGACCTTATACGATTGTTAATAGGATTTACAAGTTGTGTCCGGTGGGTGTGGTGGCCGGAAGGTGGACGAATGAGGCTCCATAGGTGGCGGGTTGGAGAGGAATGAATGGAGGGAGGCGTGAATAATGTAGGTTTGGGTTAATTTGGGTTTTCATCAGCCCCTGTATAATTTTAAAAGTACAAAAGTTTTCACAACGTTTAATAAACGTTGTAGAAAGTGACTTTTCGCAACGTTTAATAAACGTTACAAAAAAGTTATTATATTGAAACTTTTTCCAATGTTCAATAAACGTTGTAAAAAGTGAGATATTTTGCAACGTTGCAAAAGACTTTTCTTTTTGCAACATTTGATAAAAGTTGCGGAAAATAAAACTTTCCGCAACACTCAATAAATGTTGCAAAAATGGGTATATTGCAACATTCTTATAAAAAACGTTGTCAAATCTCATTTCTATTAACCAATGACAACATTCACTTATTAAAATGTTGCGATATACCCATTTAGCAACATTTCATTAGTGAGTGTTGCCTTTTTAGTGTTGCAAATGATCATTTTTTGTATAGTGAATCAATAATATTGATCAAGACTAACAAAATATAATTTTTTGAGTTGTTACAAGGTAATTCAAGATGAAAGAACGACACTGTCTTCTCGTATGATATTTTATATTTTTCAAAATTTTCAAATTATGAATAGTTTGATTTATCTAGTAAAGAAAATATAAACACTCAAAAGCATTTTAAAATTAATTGAGTAAAGCGTGACATGTTTAAGTTTATTTATTAATGAAATATGGTGAATGAGTGATGGAGAATAAAATGATAAAGTTGAATGACCAATGGAAAATTAGGGATGACAACGGGGCAGGGCGGGACGGCCCTCCCCATCCCGCTAAGAAATTTCTTGCCCCGTTACCCGCTTAAAGCTGGGCGGGGTCCTTGTCCCGTTTACTATTCGTTTAATTTTATTTTTTTTTTAGTTTTTGATAATTTATTTTTATTACTCATATTTATTAAATTTAGACAAATAATTTTAGTTTTTATTTTCTATTAGAACTAATGAAATTTTGTACATTTTTCATTTTAAGTATTGAATTCTAAAAAAAAAAGGGGGCGGGGTCAGGTCGGGTAGGGCTTCCCGTTACCCGTCCCGGCCTCGGGGCAAAATTTCTCGTCCCGAATACCCAATTAAGTTGGTTATCCCTGCACTGTTCGGGGTATGGTTCGTGGGTATCGAGTTTGTCGGGTTTTCTTGTCATTTTTATAGAAAATATTTTAATGTTTAGTGAGTAAAAGCATGATGATGGTATAAATTTAGTAACTAATTAATCATTAACTTGAAAGTGTGTGGAGCTAGAATGTTTATTTCTCTCTCCAGGTGTGTTTAAGTCACGTTATTTTGAAAAAATATATCGATCTTGCTACTTGTACATCGGGTTCTACACCCCTTCACATGATGGTAGGACCCGCTTAGATTAAAAAATAATTTATACATTAGGTTCCACACTCCATGCGAGAGGGGTGTAGCCCTTTATGTACAATTTGTGATGTACAAGTAGAATTTTTGAAAATATATTTTTGAATAACAGATTGATGAAGAATGTATGATTAAAAAAAGAAGGAAAATTTATTAATACGATGAAAAATATTATTTTATTGAAAAATGTGTATTAAAAATGACGGGCTCCATTTATAATCGATTCTCTCTTTTCCGCCAACAAAGATCGATGGAAAAAGAACCTGCTTCTCTCGAAACTCCCTGCTCTCCTGATCTTCAAGATAAATGGATTGAGTAACTGCATAAAATTCCATTCTTTTTGTTTCTTTTTTTTTTTTTTTTTTTGTTACACTTGCTTTGGAACTCGAAACCTAATTTTTCCCCTTATGGTGCTCGATTTTGTTATAGGATCCAAGATTCACTCAAGAAAAAGCTGAAGATAGAAGATGATTGCAATTGGAAAATACCCACATCAGAAGTACAAAATCTTGAAGAAAAAACAGAAAATTCAGATTCATGTGGTGCAATCCTCAAGTATGTGGGCGGAGTTGACTTGAGCTTTTCAAAAACTGATCCATCTATTGCATGTGCCACCCTTGTAGTTTTGGACCTCAATACTCTTCAAGTTGTATATGAAGATTATTCCATTGTTAAGCTGCATATTCCATATGTACCTGGTTTCTTGGCTTTCAGAGAGGTCCTGTTCATGAATTTTTCCTTTCACTTATTTTTTTCGTAAATTTATATTACTTTGTTGAGATATTTAGATGTGGGACCTCTAGGTTATAACAACACTTTATTGCCATGAATGAGAGTTATCAGTATACAAAATGATAGGTAGAAGATTAATGTTTTGTGCTTGCGTTAAAGCTCATGTAGGATAGCAAGCAAGGGAAAGAGAATAAGTTGCTTATGAATTATACCTACATTATCGGTATCAACACACCTTGAAATAGAGGCGAGGATTATGGAGTATAAGGACAGGTGGCCGACGAAATTGGGGGGGGGGGGGGGGGGG